AGGTGGTTGCTTGCAGCGTGTGTGTGTGTATGTGTGTGTGTGTGTGCCTCTGTTTGTGGCGCTTCACACAAACACTTTCGCACCGTTTGTATGTTATGTGTAAGTGCTGTTATGTGTGTTCTATTATTCTCCAGTTTCGTTTTTTCTTTCTTGTCTCTCTATCTTCTCTCTGTATTCTATATTGTTTCTAGATTAATGTTTTATTCTCTAGACGTGTTTATATTCTCTATGTATTCTGTATTTTTTCTCTCTCCATCTTTGTCTCTATTCTTTAGCCTCCCTGTATTCTGTTTTTGTTTGTTTGTTTTTGTTTGTATCTAGATTATTGTCTCTATTCTTTAGATGTGTTTATTTCTCTCTATATTATTCCATTCTTTTCTCCATTTTTATCTCTATTCAATAGCCTTCCTGTACTCTTTCTTCTATATTATCATTTCTACTCTTTAGACGCGTATACACCATCTCTGGATTGGGAAACGGAATAGTATATAATAAATGAGAACAGAGATAAACAGCGGTCTGTAGCGAGGGACGGTAACGCCCGAGACCCACAGCTGTGCAACCCGCAATCCGCTGTAACGCCAATTTGAAGAACATGACTTCAGCTTCATGTTCTTTCCATGAACACACTTGGAGAATGACAGACTGCGCGGCTGTATACGTGCTCGAACTCGCCAGCGCAAAAAGGAGAGCGAGAAATTACGTTCACAAATCCTCACGCATGCGTACTGTGCGTGTGTACGTATGAACACGCACACACACATATGTATGTGTATGTCATATATATACATATATATGTTAATATATATATATATATATATATATATATATATAATATGTATATATATATATATATATACATATATACATACATACATATATGTATGTATATATGTATTTACAACACACACACACACACACATATTATATATATATATATTATATATATATATATATATATATATATATATATATATGTATATCTATATATGTATATATATTGTATATATATATATATATATATATATATATATATATATATATATATATATATATATATATATATAATATATATACACGAGTACCACTATACAGGTTGTGCTATATTGCATAGAAAATATCATGCACGTGTGTACATATATATTAAGTTCATATGAGTGTGTACATAGTCATATGCAATTGCGTCAATCACTCTATTGAATAAAACATCCTTGCATTGACCCATATAAACAAACGCACGTGGCTTTGTTATTGTTTTCGTCGTCACCCGCTGCTCCGACTTCGCCGTAACGCATTAGTCGGCTTTACCTGATCTCAGGCATTTATTTCTCAACAGTTCCTCGAAACTTTTGTATAAAGGCACTAAAAAAGAAATTCCATTAATATTGTACTTCTAAAAGAAGAGAAAGAAAGAAAAAATAAGACAGCGAGGTGTCGAACTTTGAACCGAAGCCTCCCAACGTAGCGTAAACGTTTTCCTGCGAAGAGCGCCTCGCACGTACGCACGCACGCACACACCACACACACACACACACACACACACACACACACACACACACACACACACACACACACACACACACACACACACACACACACACACACACACACACACACACACACACACACAACACACACACACACACACACACACTCACGACGTACGCACGCACACCCCCACCATCGAGGGGGCGGGGCTTCCGACGCCAAAACACATGTTGTTGTTCCGAACCCAAACTGTGTACGTGCCAGATGTCAGAGGACAGCGGCCGGGGGATGTTTCTTTGCGCGAGGAAGACTCCAGCAGGGTATTCACACTCGAGAGCTCGAGGAAGAAGGTATCCCAAGCTGATCCGAAAACAATCATGGCGTTTCGTGGAACTTTGGCCAGACTGCCTGCTCTGAGGACTTCGGTTCTGAGCACAAGTCCAAGAATCCTAGCGGTTCCTGCCAGGCAGACCCACAGCACAGAGGATAGGCGCAAGGATATGGTTATCCAGGCTACTCCTGCTGTTGCTGCTGCGTGTGGCAGTGCCATTCCAGCTGGAAGATTGGGTAAGTGCTATTCTTTTGTTTATTGTGAGTAACCCTTGGCATGTCGTGAGAGGTGATTTCATTTCAAGGTTCTTATTTTTATCTTGGTTAATGTAGTGTAGTGTAGTCTCATTTAGAACTTTTGTGATTTTTTTTTTTCATATATTCATTTTTTTTTTCAATTATATATTCCTGTTAAATGGAATTATTGCGATTTACACGCGTAAGTGTTTGAAGAAAAACACATACACACACACACACACACACACACACACACACACACACACACACACACACAACACACACACACACACACACACAACACACACACACACACACACACACACACACTTAAAATCACATACAAACGCGTGCACCCAAGTTGATGGAAGCAAATCTCACATACGAGTTTGAATTTGTAAATTGAAATGTCTGACACATTCATGCAATTTTAAGCAAAGGATTGAATATGGTATACACTGCCAGTGCAATGGTCTTTGGGTATTAACATTTATTTAGCTTCCCGTTACGCTCCATGCCAAAAATTTAATTGTTTTAGGAAGTTACTATGCTTAGTCACGAGGTATAACATTTTATTTAACAAGATTAATGTCACTGATCTCTTATGCATCTATTAAGCTGTCTATCTGTTGCTAATAATTTTCATTACTTATCTCATTCTCTCTGTTATATTAAATATATGATCTGACCTTCCTAATACAAGAAAACTTATTTTTAAACATATACGACCGGTTTATTAAAATTGTGCGAGGCTGACCCAAAGCATATTCATTACACTGATATGAATATGCACTTAAATAAATGCATAGCTATCAGTCTAAACATCCCTATCTACCGGATATTTAGATAGATATATATATATCTATCGGGCAGTGAGACAGATATGCAGTATTTATGTGTATATGCATGTCCATATATTTGAACATTCATTGGGTCGAGCCTCCGTAAATAAATTTTAACAAACTGGCCGTTAATCTAGAGTTTAAAAAAGAGCTTTGAAAGTAACTCGACTATTGTATCATTTTATTGCAGGACTGAGAGATCACCATGTTAACAGACTGGAAAAGCACTTGTTGGTTTGGGGCGGAAAGTACAAGAATGTTGCAGATGTTCCCGACTTGGTTAGGTGAGTTTTCTTTTATTTTTTGCCATTTGGTGTGAGGTTTACTTTAATGTATATTGTCTTTGTGAGAATTTAATTTAACTATATTACTTCAGCTTGACAAATGATGCTTGACAAATGATGAAAAACAATGTCATTAACGAATGATAAAAAAAAAACAAGCTTGACAAATGATAAAAAAATGTCTTTTCCTCAACGAATGTCATAAAAAAAAACAAAGGACAATCTCCCTTCTTTAACAAATGATGCAAAACAATGGCCCTTCTTTCCCAAATCTCTCTTTAATCACACGCAAAAATCTCCTTTTCGTAACCCACAGCCAAGATTCGCTGGAACGTGCCCGCAACATGGCAAGGATCAAGATCAACATTTGGATGGCTGTTGCAACCCTGTTTGGCTGCATCTGCATGATCTGGTCGGGCAAGAAGGCACACCGGGAGGGCCAGAGTCTCCTGAACATGAATGTGGAGTGGCACAGGAGGGTGAATGAGGAGGCGAGGCTGGCCAAAGAGAGGCAGGGACGCTTGAATGAAATGCCGCAGCTGTAGGGAGGGAATCTCTGCTGGCTAGGTGATGCTCACTTGTTTTTTTCGTAAAGCTGGGAGATTAGTACATGAATTTCCCTGTTTTGTATTTGGAAGTTATCTTGAAAGAGGAAGAGGAAGAGTGTTGGATTTGTGTTTGTGTTTCTGATATTTTTATGTGGGGTTGAGGGAAGGCAGAGAGAGAAAACGTGGTGTTTTCTCGTATATTCTGCAGATAACTCTTCAGTTGTGGGAAAAGTCTTTATTTCCTAAATAACCTTTGAAGGTTTTATACACAGCATCTGAAATAGTGCTTTACAACCAATGACAAAACAAGGTTTGTATACAGTTGAATGAGCGTTGTCATCGAAACAAAATCAGCTTAGTCTTGATTTATTAATCTTTGTTCCTCCCATCAAGTGAGTGGATGTCCTTCAGAAGAGAGTCAAGGAGAATATCCACTTAAAAAAAATACAACCTCATTACAACAGCGACATTCCTTAACAACTCCCCCAGCAAGACGTGTTGTGATGAACTGTGTCTTTGAGGAGGACGGAGACAGTGCTTTGTGATGGATTAACTCAGTCCAGAGAAGCGCGTGTGTTCATATTGGGATTCCACGTTGGCCCAGTGTGCCCACGACTTCCTGTCTAGCAGTCCAGTCGCTGTCTCTCCTTCACTTCTGAGACTTGAGTAATAGTCTAGATGCTAGTTCTCACACCGAGGCCATGATGGGGATTTTAGCGCAAGCTTTATTTTACGTAGCCTGATCACAGAGGAAGCGTGCAGTCCTCTGGTCATTTATTACTACGCAAGAGGCTAGAATTATGTTGAAGCTGATACACGGTTTTCTGCTTCTGACTACGAGTTGGATTTACGATCGTCATCAGCCACTTCCGTTGTCTTTAAGAAATTCAAAATCTACCATTTACTTCAAGTCATCTCGTATTGAGAATAATGTGGTTTTATATAATCATTTAAATTATGAAGGTTTTTTGTCGTTCTTCATTTCTCTCACACATAAAAAGAAAATGAAAGAATTGTATCTGTAAAAACGTAAGCTTGACGTAAACTATGATATATTAGAAAAGGACGAGAGGAAGGAAGGCTACTTGGGATAAACATATCCTTTGTTCGGCTGATGTTTCTTCCATGCGAATCCGTTATGAATGTGAAGAGAATATTTTTTCCACATGATTGGTATGTCCTTTTCAGAGAGACCATCTTTTAGGAAGCGTAAGGAAGTGTAACATGTTTTTGTAACATCTTTTAGGAAGTGTAACATATTTTTAATGTAAGGTAGAACTAATGGTAAATAGTTTTTTGTACTTTTATATTATAATAATTCAGTACTGATTTTAATAATTCAAGGCTACTTAAAAGTCAGCTATAAATGAGAACTGAACAGAAAGGAACAATACAGCTTACTTCATTGTAACTGAATATGGTTTATATACAAAGAAAACTTTAAAATAGTCATACATATACAGATTATTGTATTGAGATTTTACATGTTAAAACGTGTATTTTCTTACGGCGAATCTTGTGAAAATAATAAATCACATGTTACATTTTGTATGTATAATAATAAAAGATATTTCTCAACATATTTTTTCTGTCACCTGTTTTCGTGAAGCACTGTATTTACTTCATTTGATATTTAAATCAACAGCTTATGAATACGAAGCTACAGATATGACTTTAAAGAACTGCATCATATATATATATAAAAAAACGAATGCAACAATTTAAACTATTTCTACTGCCCTTGCTTATCAGTATGATTCCCAATCGAGTTCATACTTTCAAGAAAATACAATTTACACTTACAAATCTAGTTGACAAAACTATAATAACTCAAAATTTAACAATTTATAACAGCATATACGGTATAATACTAGAGATTTGATTTCCATTTCATGCCACGTAGGTTATCATACGAATCTTGTGTCAAATAACAACTGGTCTAAGAGAAAGTGAGAGGGAGGGAGGAAGAGAGAGAGAGAGAGAGAGATTAAAAATGCGAATAAAGAAGTAAAAAGGGAAATGGCTGAAAAAGAAAAAGTAAGAGAAAACATAAAGGAGAGAAAAAAAGACAAAGATATAGACACAGGAACATACAAACACCATGCGAGAGAGAAGAAACCTAAACACTAATACTTTTCAGATGAAACTTCCATGGACATTTTCCCTTGAGAAAAAAGTAAACATAACAAACATGACTTTTAGAAAACAAACATATATGACAACACTCGAGTTTCTTCCAAGAAAAGGTCTCAAAAGTGTAAATATTATTCCAAAATTCAGTCACACTGAAAAACAGGAAAAACGATTCAGATTGAAGAGAGAAAATAATAAAATACGCGCATCTGTCAGTTCAGAGTTCAACAATCTCTAAGTGAAAAAAAATGTATCAGGTGACAGGCGCCGAGAAAAAAAAATGTGTTTCTAATGATTTAATAAAAGTTTCCAACCTTTTTTTTCTGAAGAAACAAGTAATCCAGAATTCTGAGTTGCAAATTATTTAGATAGTTAACTATTCGGTAAGAAACAGTTTAGAGGACAAACTATTACGAAAATAATGGTAGCATATCCTATTACTGTGGAAAATGCAACATACTGATACGCGCATATGTAATGAGAATGTTGATTTGTTATACCGCAGCATGGAAATATTCTGATATATTCAATTTATCGTTATAAATTCAAACAATATATGAACGCAAATATATTCAGCAGAAACATTAATTTACTTAACGCCCTCTAAGTTATTCATTGTTGCAATTATATGCGAGAGAGAAAAAAATATTATGCGTGGATGTATATATATATATGTATGTGTGTGTGTGTGTGTGTGTGTGTGTGTGTGTGTGTGTGTGTGTGTGTGTGTGTGTGTGGTGTGTTGTGTGTGGTGTGTGTGTGTGTGGTGTGAGAGAGAGAAAGAGAGAGAGAGAGAGAGATAGAGAGAGATAGATAGATAGATAGATAGATAGAGAGAGAGAGAGAGAGAGAGAGAGAGAGAGAGAGAGAGAGAGAGAGAGAGAGAGAGAGAGAGAGAGAGAGAGAGAGAGAGAGAGAGAGAGAGAGAGAGAGAGAGAGAGAGAGAGAAGAGAGAGAGAGAGAGAGAGAGAGAGAGAGAGAGAGAGAGAGAGAGAGAGAGAGAGAGAGAGAGAGAGAGAGAGAGAGAGAGAGAGAGAGAGAGAGAGAGAGAGAGAGAGAGAGAGAGAGAGAGAGAACTGTTCACGTGAACATGTCGTGCTGCGCATGGGAAAAAGGTTTGTGCGTGCGTCCGTGTTTGCTTGAAAGTTCTCAACGCCATGTAGCTGCTCAACTGCAGGCATTTCTGTCTCTGTCCATGTATATGTCTATCCTTAACTGTTCGGTAGATGGATAGATAAATAGACAGATAAATATGTTCATATAAGTTGTTTATTTGTATAGACATGTTTGAATCTGAGTTGAATGCCTGTGCTTGCTTGAACGAAGGAGCGCAGACACGTTTGCATGCCCCACAATGTATACGTGCGCATCTGTACCGATACACCCAATCGGCTTTCGATGGCGAGATTTATGGATGGATATCTGTAAATCTTGTCCCGGTGCCCAAAGTAAACAAACGCACGTGGCTTTGTTTTTGTTTTCGTCGTCACTGGGGCTGCTTCGCCGAATCGCGTGACTCCCTCGTCTTTACATCGTCCTAATACGTTAATTTTTAATATATTTCATCGAAAGTCTATTTAAATGACAAATACCTCACAACGCATTAGTACAGATATCGGCTTCTTCCTCAAGCAGCGTTAACGTTTCCTGCTCGCCCGCCCGCCCGCACCGTCGAGGGGGCGTGGCAGCCACCGCCGAGAGCCAAGACGAGAGCTGCAACACGGGGCTCTGAGCTGTAATTCCTGTGACCCAGACATGTACGTGCCAGATGTCACAGGATGGCGGCCGGGGGATCCTTCCTCGCGCCATAAGCACGCCAACACGGCATTCGCTCTTGGGAACTTGAGGAAGAAGGTGTTACAAGTTGAAAGGCTGAAAGTTGATCAGACATGGCGTTGCGAGGATCACTGGTCAGACTACCTCCTATGTGGTCTCCTGTTTTGACCACAAGTCCAAGAATCCTTGCGGTTCCTGCCAGACAGACCCATAGCACAGAGGACAAACTCAAGGATATTATCCAAGCCGCTCCTGCAACTGCGGCTGCGTGTGGTAGTGCCAAACCTGCAGGAAAGCTGGGTAAGTGCTATTCCTTCCTGTTCGAAATCCATACTCTGTAGTTAGGCTAGTGAGTACGTTTCTTGGGACTCAGTAGCAAATGATTGTTAGCGTGCTTTGTTTGAACAATATTTTTAAGATTGCGTTTTCAAGTATATGTGCCTGTTACAGCAGTCATAGTCCTAGTGCATTGAAATCTTTGTCTCAAAATGTGAATACATAATTTTGGTTGTGATTCACAAAAGTTACTAATCTACCCACTGGACTTTCAACATCATCTGTTGTTGATACTTGGTGGTTATGAAAAGGAAATTATTTCATGTGACAGGTTTAATTTCTAGCTATGAATGCTGATTTTTAAAATTCAGAATCAGCATTGTTACCAATAGCGGTTGTTGCTCTTATGAAATTGCTTCATTTTTGTGATGATATTACTGATTATCAAGAGAGGAAATAGGCAATTTAGGTAACTTCCTTTCAAGTGAGGGTACTTTGCTTATTTTTTCATTTCTAAGGGAAGAGAATACTTTATAAAGGGATCATATAATGTAGGTATTTTTAGCAGTTTCTACAATTTCAGGTATTCCAAGGATGTTTAGCAATCACACTTTCTAATCACACTTTGCAATCATAATTTACAACCACACTTTGCAATTGGATTTTGCAATCACACTCTGCATTCACACTTTGCAATCACATCTTACAATCACACTTTGCAACCTCACATGGTAGTTGTGAAAGGGACATTCACTTTAATCACAGGAAGACAAGACAGACAGTTAATTATTGAATATTAATTTTATTTGTTTTGATGCAGTGTAAGTTATATACTTACATTCACATGTCTAAAAATGAATTTGATTCCCAAATTGCACACATTAAGAAAAAAAATATATATATATATATATATATATATATATATATATATATATATATATATATATTATATATATCTTGTGCATAGCCTAATTTTGTTTGAAGTGCAAGTTTTCTATATTATCTTTAATAGATAAATATGGTCAATATATCAACTGCTGTCTCTTTCTCCTTCAAGAACAATGACCTTTTGGTTAAGAGGTCTTGCAAGTTCTCTTCCTTTCTCTTTTCCATTTTTTATCTTATATTATATTTTTTATTTTTTTATTTTCTATCTTGTGTAAGGTTCTTAAAGGATTAGTGGGGCTTCTAAATCTAGTATTGAGTTACAGGTACAGTGTAAATACTTGGTGTGTGTGTGTGTGTGTGTGTGTGTGTGTGTGTTGTGTGTGTGTGTGTGTGTGTGTGTGTGTGTGTGTGTGTGTGTGTGTGTGTGTGTGTGTGTGTGTGTGTGTGTGTGTGTGTGTGTATGTGTGTGTGTGTGTTCTTGTGAAGGTGTGTATATATGTATATATGTGTATGTATGTGTATATGTATGTGTATGTATGCGTGTTTGCCTATGTATGTATGTGTATGTGTGTGTATATATAACCTGTAAGAGTCTGTATCTTTGTGTGTATATGTGAATGTATATGTGTATGTGTGCCCACCCCTGTGTGTGTGTGCCTCCTTGTGTGTTTGTCTGCCATTTCACTGCATTCTAAGTCTCTCTCTAAATCATATACTGTTATATTTTTCTCCACGTTTGAGTAAATATTAAAGGTACACAGAATCACATTTGGGGAATTCATGTAAAAGTTTTTTTTTTTAGCTGTTGCTTCCTGTCTCATTCTATGTTGAAATTTAATTGTTTTAGGGAAATATGATTTGTCACATTGATGATAAGAAGGATTTGTATTTAGTACTGATGTCATTGACTTACTAAACGATTATGTTGATAATGATTTGTATCTTACACTTTTATATGTTGCAAGTTATTAGGTACATCTACTCACCTCCTGTTGCAAGCAAATTAGATTTTTTATATTATTAAAAGTTTAAAAGAAGAGCTTTAAGGAAAAAAAAAACTTGATGATGGCATTTTTGAGGGAAAGGCATATTCTAATGCCATTTTAGAGAAAATAAAGCTGTTGTTATTAGTAGCAGTTTAAAGCTTACAATATTTTGTTTCAGGACTGAGAGACCATCACGTTAATACACTGGAGAAATACTTGCTGGTTTGGGGCGGAAAGTTCAAAAGTGTTGCCGATGTTCCTGAATTGGTGAGGTGAGTTTTTCTTTGGCTTTCATGTGCATTTTTCCAGGTTATGTTGAGGTTTACATTACTACACCTTGACTTTGCAATGCAGGTAATACTACTAGTAGATTATATTATTTCTCTTCATTCCAGAAATTATTTAAATAAATGATTTAATTTTTTTATATAACAGCCAAGATGTCCTGGAACGTGCCCGTAACAAGGCAAGAATCAAAATCAACATCTGGATGGGTGTTGCAACCCTGTTTGGCTGCGCCTACATGATCTGGTCGGGCAAGAAGGCACACCGAGAAGGCCAGTCTCTCCTGAACATGAATTTGGAGTGGCACAGGAAAGTGAATGAGGAGGCAAAGGTGGCTAAGGAGAAAGAGGCTCATCATGTGGACGTGGCAAAGCTGTAGAGAGGAAGTCTCGGCTTTTCAGGCATTGATGTAGCATTGTTGTTTTTATGTATTTTTGTGTTATATTTATTTCCTTTATTATTATTATTATTTTTTTATTGTTATATTTTAATTAAGGAGTTTAGAAAAGACAGAAAGGAGAGAGTAAGCTTTCCTGATATGGTCTGGAGAAATTACCTTTCAATTATAGGAGAGAGTGTTCGTATCTTCCTTAATGCTTTTTATATACAGCATTTGAATCCATGCTTTGCAGCTGTGATCATATGATATAAGTAATGGCAAAACTAGGTTTGTCCACAGTTTAATGAGTATTTTTGTCCAATGAGAATAGTTTCTTAGTCTTAACTATTTTCTTTAAAATTCCTTTCATCAAGTGAGTGGATATCCCACGGAGGAAAGTCTTAGGAGGATAACCACTCAATAAACCTAGCAACCTCATTACAACAGTGACAATCCTTAACAACTCCCCCAGTAATTTGTGTTGTGATGAACTGGTCATTGAGGAGGAGGGAGACGTTGCTTTGTGATGCATTAACACAATCCAGAGAAGTGTGTGTGTTCATAATAGGATTCCAGGTGGACTGCATGTGCCCATCAAAAATCCATTTGCAGCACCTCATTCACTCCTGAAATGTTTGTCTAATTGCTGGTTCGCACATGGTGGGGATAAACACTAGTGTAAGCTTTATTATATGCAACATTTTGCAAGGGATTATAATTGTGTTCTGTCTGGTTGATGCTTGGTTTTCAGTCTCTCAAAGCTTCATCATGGATTTTACAAGCATCATCTTCAAGTTCCTTTATCGCTAGAAAATCATATAAATATGCCATGTGCGGTTTCATTTAAAAATTCAATAGGAAGTGATGTATAGTATATCCTCCTTATCTATAGGCTGTGAATGAGCATTTTTTAAATAATTACCGCCCAGTTTCCTGAAAAGAAGATGAGAAAGAAGTATGATGTTTGTATATATAATAGCTTGACATATTAAGTGTGGCTTAGATTTTCAAAAAAGAAAAGAGCTCCTTTAAAAGCAACTTGTGGAAGATATATATGTTTATGATAAGCAAGGCAAAGACCCTGAAAGTACATATATTTTTTCCACTCATATTATTAGCCTGCTATTTTAAAGAGGAAGGAAAAATATAACATGTGATAAAAAATTAACATAATTTCATGTTCACAATTTAGGGAAGGATAATATGTAAAGGTATAATTGTAGTAACTTTTGTACTTTTTTATCATGTTAATTTTGTACCAAAGATTCATGGACAATAATATGCCTTGTAAATGTTCAAATGAGTGAAAAAAAAAATCTATTAAATATGGACATCTTTTTATTAGATATTTTACATGTTATAATGGAATATATTAGCTTTAAATTACTCATATGATATATAATGATTTATATTGTAGATTTTCATGTTATGACATGTATTTTTGTAATGTGAATCTGATGACAATAATAAACTATATCAATTTTACTATAAGTAGAATAAAAGCTTAATTTTTCAGCGTGTTTTTTATGTAACCATTTGCAGTGAAATGTGTCACCATTTTCTGAAACACTAATACTTATTTTTTACATTTGAAGTTGCATTTACAGGTACAACTTTAGATATGAATTTGAATTCGTGGTGAGAATTATCCTCTCATTTAAGAAAATTTGATTGATCTATTTCCTTACATGATTAATAACTATTATTCTTTCCAGTTAAACTGTCTATTTGTTTCATGGTATTCTTGGAAATTAAGTGATTAATATTTGCATTTCTAAAGTATTATATAAGTAGATATTTTTGTGAAATGTTTAGAGAATGGAGTTAGATTTTTGTTAGTTAATTTTTGGAAAAATAAATTCATATTTTGTGAAAGTGATAGAAAACATAATCTGAAGCTTAAGTCATTTACATTTTCACTAATAATAACATTGCAAATTGACATTTCT